AAATGACATATACAGTGAAGGGTAAGTTTCTCTCCTGTAGCCATCCTTTTCTTTCCACAAGTGTCTACTGTGGTTTGTGTATCTTCAAGAGGCCTTTAGAGGATAGTTCTGTGTACATCTAACTTCATCCATTTAGGTATGCAAATTGGAACTTTCTTATCCTCTGTGTGTGTGTGTGTGTTACTTAACTATAGTTTGGGGATTGTTCCACCATAATTTGTTGAGGTTTATTACTGTTCCTTCGATTGTTTATAAATCGGATATGATTGATCACTTGAAACTATAAATATTTGCCTTTGGAGTTAAATTAGTATGATCATGTAAATAAATGCTTTATAGTTGATATTTTAACTTAGAGAAAGCTAGTGGTAAGGAAAAAGGCAGCTATATTAGGGTTAAGGACCTGGTGAAACTTAACATTTCTAGTAGTTAAAATACGTACTTTGATATTTAAAAAAAAACCCCTGTATCCACAGTTTATTTGTTCAACATTAAACAATGTGAAAATTCAGATACTGAAGAGCTGATCATGTTTGGTTTTATTTCCCCCCCTTTTTTTGTTGATACTGGGTATTGAACCTAGGGGCATGCTTATCACATAGCTATAGCCCTTTAGATTTTTTGGTTTTGAGACAGGTTGTCATTAAATTGCTCAGACTGGCTTCCAAGTTTCCGTCCTCCTCCTTCAGCCTCTGGTGTAGCTAGGGTTACAGGCATGTGCCACTTTATCTGGCCACATTTGGAAGTTTTTGAAGCCTTAGGAGATGAAATTTAGAATCTATATTAACTGGTAGGAAGTCAGCCAGATTAATTTAAATACTAGAATATTCTTTAAGGGGAAGTTTGAGGTTGTTTGTTTGTTTGTTTTTGGTTACTGATGCTACATCCCCAGCCCTTTTTATTTTTTATTTTGAGACTGGGTCTTGCTAAATGGATTAGGGCCCCAGTCTCCCAAGTGATTGGGATTGCAGGAGTGGCTGGGATTATAGGTGTGTGTAATTTACCATTCCTGTCTTGAGATATATTTTATATCTAAAGCATTCTGCACAAACATTTTTACTAACTTTTTTTTGTTTTTTGGTACCAGAGATTAAACCCAGTGGCGCTTAAGCACTGAGCCACATCCCTAGGCCTTTTTGTTTTTTACTTAGAGTCTGGGGTCTCGATGAGTTACTTAGGGCCTCCATAAATTGCTGGCTTTGAACTTGGGATCTTTCTGCCTTAGCCTCCTGAGCTGCTGGGATTACAGGCGTGTGCCCTAGCTACTTTTGCTGATTTTAAAAATGTGTATTTTTGGTGTTAAGTAATTATAAAGATCACATAATAAATTAATACAGTTTATATTGTTAATATTTTTAGGTGTGAATCAATAATGTTATATTGGTATATAGTTGATTGAATGTTCTTTTTAGAAAGTATATGCTGAAATAATTGTGATTGAAGTGTAACTTTGAAATGATTCCAAAAAACACTACATTTAGCAAATAGGGCAAAATATTCATTGGTTTCAGATGCAGAAGCACTGTGTGTCTTTGAAATTTTCCATAATAAGATATTGCAGGGAGGGAAGCATACCCCCTAAAAAGTTAATAAAAAAGCTGGGTGTGTAATGCACACATGTAGTCCTAATACTCAGGGGCTGAGGTGGAGTTCAAGGCCAGCCTGGGATTCATAATGAGACCTCATCTGAAAGGTTAATATAATCACAATTACTATTTTTTTTTGTGGTACTTAAAATTGAATCTAGGAGTGCTTAATTACTGAATTACACCCCCAGCATTTTAATTAATTAATTAATTGTGTGTGGGGGGTAGTGGGGAATTAAACCTAGGGGCTTTCTACTACTAAGCTATATTCCCAACCCTTAAATGTAGAAGGTTTTTTTTTTTTTTTTTTTTTTTTTTTTTTTTGGCACCAGAGATGGAATCTAAGGGAGCTTAACCACTAAGCTACATCCCTAGCCCTTTTCATTTTTTATTTTGAAACAGGGTCTCGCTAGGTTGCTTGTAACCTTGCTAAAAGATGCTGAGGCTGGCTTTGAACCTTTGTCATTCTGCCTCAGCTTCTTGAGCCACTAGGATTAGAGGTCCGTGCCACCACGCCTGGCCTTTATATAGAATTTTAATCAGGTCTCACTAGGTTGACATTGCTTGCCTGTATCTTGTGATCTTCCTGCTACAGCCTGGTATTTCTTAAATTACAAGCAGGTGCACAGCTTTTGGTGGATTTAGTCTGAAAACTAATTAATTTACCAGTTAATTCTTGTGTCATTTAAGCTACTTTTATGTAGTTTTATTTATAGGAAAGATAAGAAATTTAATTATCTTTAAAAATATTTATTAATTTTTCTTTTATGGTGCTGGGTTTTGAAACAAGGGTCTCACACATGCTAGGTAAATGCTTCACCTCTGAGTTTTATCCCTAGCTCTATATTGCTTTTAAAATGAAGGCTCAAGTGTGGTACATTTTAGTAGTGTGAAATTTTGAGTATTTTGACCATGCTTAGTATGTAATTGTTTTAGTAAATAAGACAATTACTAATATGTAATATTTTATTAAATAAGACGTAAAAAGGATTGATTGGCATTTTGAATCTTTTTATTAGATAGAGATGATTAACTATTAAAAAAATGGTTAAAATAAGCCTGGGCAACATGATAAAAATCCATCTTAAAAAACAAAAAGAATAAAAGTTATTTATTTGGACTTTAGTAAAACCAAGGTCTTGAATTAACTGTGTTCAGGGCCTCTCAGCTGCTAGGAAAGCTCTCTACTACTGAGCTAACTGGCCCCTACTATTTTATTTCGAAGGGGAAGTACTGCAAAATTTTCCAACTCTTTTGAGTTGGAAAGAGGTAAGATGTGATAGCAGCTAGTTTCATATTGATGAATAGAAGTAAACATTTCAGGTCATCAAAATGATTTTCAGACCTGTGAAGTTAATGCTTTGATTCTGAATTATTTATAGCTAGAAAGAGTTACTGTCTTGTGCTTCTTAAGACCAGGGAATCGATGAAATGGGACAAAGCTGTGTGTGTGGGCCTGTTTTCTGTAGTATAGTATTGGGGCAGTTCTTATTTGTCAAAGTTGCTTGAGTTGCTGTTGTGTTTCTGCTTCTGTTTGTACTTTTACTTCCAAGTAAATAATTTTCAAAATGTTGCTGTTTTCTAATGGAGAATTTGGTTAGTATGCTTTATTTGTATGGAGCAGAATGTGGTGGTAATCTTGATTAAATATTTATAAAATCATGTTAGTGAATTTCTAGGAATAACACAGCCTTTTTTCTTCTTTTGTAGCATAAGCAGTACTATAATGGATGTAGACAGCACAATTTCCAGTGGGCGTTCAACTCCAGCAATGATGAACGGACAAGGAAGCACTACTTCTTCAAGCAAAAATATTGCCTATAATTGTTGTTGGGACCAGTGCCAGGCTTGCTTCAACTCTAGTCCAGATCTGGCAGATCACATCCGTTCCATACATGTAGATGGTCAGCGAGGAGGGGTTGGTTTTGACATTTCTTTTTTTTTTTCCACTCCCTGTTTTTATTAGTTTTATTAATTTGTAATTGCTAGTTAGACCTTTTCCTCCCCCCCC